GGGACTCTGTGAGAATCGTGTGGACACTCTCCAGTATAGCTCAGTGGGTCTCCGAGGTACACAAACCGCCATACCACGGTAAGGTCCAGTCTCTTCGTGACGGGATATGTTATCTGTGAGAAGTAAAAGCGACACAAACCGTATACAGCATTCCTACTCTAAACTAGACCACTTGGTAGAGGACGAGTGTGCGCCCATTTGCATTACCGCTGTCTGCCAACGGTAGCTAAAACAAGAGTAACGCACACTACACACGGTGCACGGAGTGTACATTGCTTTGGCGTCAGTGATTAGTGTGTGCGTTGCAAGCACCAAATAACATAGATTTCATCAGTTCTCACTGATAGATAGCGGACGGAGAAAACACAGTGACTCCAGAAAAACTATTGGTCTCCTAATTCATTAAACCGCATTTTATCAGGCACACTGACTGATGGAATGTTGTGCATCGAGGCGAGAAAAAAATGGCGTGAATTAGATTGATGCTGTGCCCAGTCGAATTGACTGGATTTCTCTCTATCGCGATTCGTCGCCCCAGCGCGAATCTTCATTCTCCCTGTAACCATGCGGTATCGGTGCCACATGTTCTTTTAGAATTATTCTACTACAAAGCGGGCGCAGTTGAGGCGCGATGTTAAAGCAGCTTACCGATTCGCTCAACTAGGGTTAGGGTGGTGAAATGTGTAGCAGAGGTCCTGGTATATAGTGGTGATGTAGAATGAGGCGAGGATGTGTTCAAGCTCATAGTAAGTACCGTATTCATTGACGGCATGACCTTACTATGATGGTTCATACCGGAATAGCAGTCTCACTGCAGTCTCCTGTCCCACTCTGTTTGTAACGCACAAATAGTCCCCTTGCTACCTCATCCCATTGACTGCGTTGGCGCGTAATACCAGTTTATGTGACCATCCAAGTAGACCGGCAACGAGACAGAGACGTGGCTTTGTGGCAGAGTGACGTGTGTAGCTCTACAAATTCTGTGTGTCTTTCTTATTTTAGAACTCCACCTCCCGTGTTTGCGAAAAGTTCGGTGACACAAGTGTTCGTTCATGAATATGTATCAGTTGAGTCGAAGGACAGTTTTCACTTGTTCCTCACCTCGAACTTTATTAATCAGTATGACTTTTCATAGGGGGGCGAGATGGCCCAAGTGGTTAGAGCGCGAATTTACCGACCGGAAGGTCTGTGGTTCGAACCCGACCTCACCCTCTCGACTTCCCACGTCTAGGCTTGGGAGACCTGGCAGTATCCCAGCCCTCGTGCTTCCTCCGGGTGGCATGGCAGCCAGGCACCGAAATGGTGTTACACCTGAACGATTTTTTCCATAGGGAAGTTTGATGCAAATACAAGCATTATAAGTGTTGCCACATTTATGTCTTTAAAATCGCCTTGTGTTGATCTTGAAAAACCTAAAAGGAATAAGCATATCAACAGTAACAATTTATCTGATTCCCACATCCTTTGGAATTTCGAGGGGCACCGTGACGACTCGAGTGACTTATTTCCTATCAGATACTGTCGTGTATTGGGATGGACATGCTTGAGAAGGCAATTCTTTCCGCTTAAGTGTCGTTCACTACTGCTCCGGACGACCCCGTCAATAAATTCGTGGAATTCAATCCTCACAATCTTGTTTGATTCTCTACTGAAATATCGCGAACTTGTTGCGGATGACATCTCGATAACATGTACACTTGTGTCCAATGAATCCCGTTACAACTACCCTACAGTAAAACCAGGCTCGGTAAAAAGTAGCGCTCTCGAACCGTTTTTGTTAGAATCAGAGTGAGTAGTGCCGGGAACAGTTTTTTTACGCCTGTCCCATCCTGGTTGAGTTTCTTAAGAAGGCTTATTTTTGTCTCTGGGACTGCCTGTATTGAAGTGACATTCGTTTCAACACAACCAGATTACCTCAGCCCCAATTCTTGGTCTCGAGTGCCTTCTGTCCGTGTTCGAGATGTGTTGTAGTTTTTCCCCAAATCTCTGTATTGGTGTACCATTTTATACCACGTCTTCAGTGTTTATTTAATTTTTTCTTCACAGAAAACTTTTTTGGGTTGGCTGCGATGCTATTGGGATTCGGGATCCGGATGGTTTTGTGTTCTGTTCGTCGGTTTAATCACTGGCATTATCGCCTGCCTCATTGACATTGGGTCTACGTGGATGTCGGATTTGAAAGAGGGCGTGTGTTTGGAAGCGTTCTGGTTCAATAGAGAACAATGCTGTTGGTCATCCAACCACACGAATGGAGTATGCGAGCAGGTACGTTATTGCTTTGTTCTCCTTTTCTAAATGTTCACCGTCCGTCGTTCGCGACTCGTAATGGATGTTCCTTCCGAGTTCCGTCCACATCTAACTGGCGCTCTCTATAGCATATCATATTATAAAAATCTTAGAGGGATTGATTAGATTAGTTCATTCGCCTCTGATTTCAAGGCTGATATAGCCTCACACCAGAGTTACTTGAGTTCCCAGTGCCCAACACATAAAAATCTTAGAGGGATTGACTAGATTAGTTCATTCGCCTCTGATTTCAAAGCTGATATAGCCTCACATCAGAGTTACTTGAGTTCCCAGTGCCCAACAGCAGTTGAATGTAGTTACTCACATTTCCTGTGTTTATACACACGAACGATGGCCATATAAGGTAAGCTCCATGTGGAGAGACTGAGCAAAATCAATCCTCTTGTAGCAGTTCATAAGCGTTAGCAAAATTAACCTACTTCGAGTTGTGACCTCTCTAGAGTAGGAGAGCTGCACATATTTTCATTTCGTAATTTTATCAATGGAGCAAGCTTTCACATGAACCTGAAGACTTACCCTTCGTTATTCGATAAAATGTATGGATATGGTTGTTAACCTACCAATCCCTTTTTTCTCCACATTCAAGTGGTACACTTGGTCCCGTCTATTTTTGGACAAAGACCCAACGGGTGCGAATCCTGAGGCCTACTTCGTCGGGTATCTTTTCTACGTTCTGTTTGCCCTTCTCTTCTCCGTGGTTTGTGTGCTTCTGGTACGAATGTTCGCACCGTATGCTTGTGGTAAGTGACGACCCAGATACTCTGTCCATCCGTTTTTTATGCAGCTGTTGATAAGTGATGTTATTTGGATCCCCTTTTTACCATTAGTGGTTTTCCAAAGCTAAAATGTTTTCAAACATAATCTGAACATATTGGTACTGTAAATCCGTGTTCGTCGTCCGGTTACTCCATTTTCTTAGGACTCCCACTATTTTTTTTGCTGACCCGTGGTAATTTTGACTCTGTGTTTCTAGGCAGCGGAATTCCTGAAATTAAAACTATATTGGGTGGTTTCATCATCCGTGGCTACCTGGGCAAATGGACTCTGCTCATCAAATCTGTCGGTATGATTCTGGGCGTGGCAGCTGGTCTATCATTGGGTAAAGAGGGTCCCATGGTTCATATGGCATCGTGTGTGGGCAACATACTCGCCTACTTCTTTCCAAAATACGGGAGAAACGAGGCTAAGAAGCGTGAGGTGAGTCATTTGAAAAAAAAGAGCGTTTCCAGAACAACGGATTTAATGATGAAGCGAATGACCAGGGAAAATTCTATCCTGCTTTGACCATTTTAATCTCATACCTCAGAAGGAATTCTTCATGATGGAAGTTCGGACGTAGCTCATAATCGAATCAAATAATCATCCGTCCACAATCGAATGAAATAGTTACTGAAGTTGGTACCATTCAACCAAGTTTTTACGATGTGTCAAGTAGAAATTTGGCAATCTTGCGATAGGATGATTAATGAGTGAAACAGTAGGTAGGGAAAATTAAGAATGCATGAAAATTTGTCATGAATATTTTAGTTCGGTTTATGGGGTTCGAACCCGACCTCTGCCTCTCGGCTTCCCCTATCTAGGTTTGGGCAACCTGGCAATATCCCAGGTGCTTCCTTCTGATGGCATGACAGCTAGACACCTAAAGGGTGATGCAGCTGACTGACCTTTTTTGGTTTATGTGTACACTGTTTTATACCTACCTTTACTGATCATGGACAGACGTTGAATGGATTCTCAAGTGTCTGCATCTAACAATTTAGTATTTAGTGTACCCGACGCCAATAAGGCCACCCATTTTTATAGCATTTTTCGTCCGTTGTCTGAGCTGAAATATCCATGTTTTCTTCACGTGTTCACCGAATTATTAGTCAATTTTGATACTGTGTTCAGAATACCTCCTAGATAACTGTGTGGCCACTGGGAGTTTCTAAACGCAATGAAGACGAGTTTGAACTGAAGGCTAACTCGATCATCTTTCGGAATATGCGAAATCCATTGTTTTTCCTAACTAGAATTCAGTGTCTTTCGCATGCTTTGTGTTAGATTCCGTAAAAATTTAGTTCTCGGGTTCCCCCCATCATGATTATTTTCAATCGATCCCCAGTATTTCAGTCTTCATTCCAGCTGGCCACGAACATTTCCGAATAGTTTCTAATTCGTATATTTTATGGGGTCGTCTGCCAGTCCAACATACTGAGAGGAAGCAAGATCTCGCTAATTGGGCACCGTAGACGAAGACCTCGTCTTGTTGAGATCTGGTTCTATCGACAAGGGAAATGGATTATCTCTGGGTGCTCCTGTCCGGGACGTCGCTACTGATTTTTCCATTTGGTATAACCGAATTATGTTGCATGATTTGTGTAGCCTAGAAATGACGTTCCTGGTCATGGTTTTCGGATGGCGCGGTCCACCCTTGCAGCCAAACCGTTTGCAGATCTACAGCTCGTCTAATCACTCACCCAACCAAGTGTTTCGATAACCGAAGCCTGGTTAGCACTGTCCTATTACGCCGCTAGACTCAGGACTTGGGAGGGTAGTATCACATCCCATAATCACCTGTGGCATTTTTGGTTCGAGGTACAGTGCTCAGGGAAGTGCTGTGCGCAGTGACGTCCAGGACCACTAGCGGCATCTGCACTGTGCCAGTCAATAAAAATGGTAGTGGATTTTTATCACAATCGGTCATAGTATTGAGAATTTTCCTCAAACAAGTTCCATGCTTGCAGTTTAGTAATTTGGGGACTCAATGGTCAAGTCAGTTGCAGCTAGGGCTGTGTGAAAGTTATCCAGTGCATCTTCTTAGCTGATTATGTCGTAGGACCAGCCTCCATTCGCTAAGTCTAGCTGCATATCAATTTGGTTTTCATGGGAGACCCAGAATGAAAAAAAAAATGAATCGTTCAGCTATAACACCCTTCCGGTGCCTAGCCGCCATGCTACCCGAAGGAAATACGAGGGCTGGGATACTGCCAGGTTGCCCAAGCCTAGACAGGGAAGTCGAGAGGTCGGGTCCGAACTACGGACCTTCTGGTCAGTGAATTCGCGCTCTAACCACTTGAGGCATCTCGCCCCCATGGAGGGCACCCAGCTGGATCTCTTTTTTATGATATTCTTCAATTGAATGAGCTGCATAAAGGCCGCCTCATGTTTCAGTTGGTACGATATTCGAGATATTGCAGGGGATTTCCATAAAGGAAACTATTCACAAGGTTACTATGGGTAGTTTCCCGTATGCCGTATTTTTGTTCTAATGCTGCTGATAATTTATACGGTTGGGTATATCGGGCTGAAAGAAGGTTTCAGGTTGTGCCAAGTAGCAATATCATCAGTTAGACCCATTGTGATTAAGTGACGTGCGTGGCTGGCATAACTCTACATTGTTAGCTTGGTGATGCTTCATTAAGTGTTAAGACAGATGGGGAACCCACTTAGAGTTGGGTCCAGTTTAGGGTTTAGTTCTTCCTCTTCACTTCACTTAATGATCCTTCTTGTACGTCGTTTACACTATTTGTCCGCATCTGTGGATGAACTAGTGCTATGATAGCTATGTAAGGGAGAGGTTCTGTGAACTTTGGTCGGGTTGGGATCTCCAACCCCTTGTGGTAATGATTCTTCGTATGTTTACAACCACACACCGTCACGTGCTAACGTGGCTTATCGAAGACCGCCGTGCATACGCTCAGCAGTTCCACACCCTCACACAATGTTATCACTAACGGGTCGGTCACAACGCGCAAGGCTTCTTAGGTAGCATACAATTGTTTTGAGGTGTCATTCCGTATACCTTATGTAACCATCCTACTTCTTTTTTCAAGTTGGTTATCTCAAGCATAACTGTGGCTGGACACATCTGATACTGGTGTTCTCCGAAGGTTACCCTAGCGAGCGTAATAAGCATATCGCACAACGGTATTTTCTGAGATTAAGCGCACTTCGTTTCCAACCTGGTAATCGATGTCTCTAACCTTGGTGTGTCATCGAACTTATGTAGCTTGCTGACCATCGTCACCTGATACTCTACCGTTTACAGAGCAGTTTCTTTTCTTGTCTCTTGCTCAGTCACTGTTATGACACTGTGTTCTTTATTCATGTTGTGGTATGTTGACTATGCATTGATTACGCATAGTAGAAATTTGCGCATCCACCTTCGTTTGTCTCGAAGTGCCAGTGCAGTGTTGTAACTTCCCATTCATAGTTCTGATCAACTTTCCAATTGCCAGACGCCGTGAGTGTTCTTGGCTTCGTTTCCATATTCCCATTTCGTAGGCGAAAGGCGTAAGGTGTGTAAGTTACTGGTGCGAGAGACAAGTTCAATCTTTTATGAAGCTTGGGAAGTGCACATACTTAGGTTGACCTTCCAAGGTGTCCTGTCTTGGAGGGTCCTTGTATCAGTGTTCGACTGGTGCACATGTTGTCCTGTGTAACAAGTGAGGCCTCCACAAGATGTCTTTCGCTTTCGCACTCCGGCTATGCGTGATCACCAATGATGTATTTTCTAGCTTGACTTTGCTATATCCATCTGTTTTAAACAAGTACACCACCTTTTATTCTCATCAACATGCACCTATCCACTACGTAACATGGGTGACTTAGTATGATTTGCACGTACGCTGCGGACAAGATTTCTGACAGACCTACATTTTGACCACATTTTCAGCGATTGTTTCTTGGTTACATAGCTGAGGATCCAAATTTTTCGTTACAGACTCGATTGCCTCCTCTTTTCATTCTGTACATCAGCTTGGTCTCTTTCGTCCAGTTTTAGTCTGTCTCGCACGTACTACTACGGACGCCTATCAAGGCCAGTTTTACTGTGCCTATTATCTTTCTCTTGATTCTCTTAGTATCAGGATTAGGTTGATTCGTTTCCAAGGACGTGGTTATGTTGTGTCTTGGTGGACGGCAGTGCAACTCTGTATCGGTCCCTTGGTTTTCTGCTCCGCCCACTATGGTGTATCAAAAGGCACGGCAGCTCTACACAGCCCTTTATGGAGACAAAAGGAGAATCATTGCATCTGTATTTATAGGGTAACCACAGAGTGTTCCACAAGGTCGTGCTAGAAGCACCGTGAGGGGGCGAGAAGCGTCCAGTCAAGGATGCTCGACCCGGATTGGCTGGCATTCTGACCAATCAGGGCATGCCTTCCTTTGGTCCATGTCCTGCACGTGACATCCATCCAAACGATGTGATGTTCGGTTATTAGGATAGGCTGGTCTCCGTACAGGTTATCATCTTAATAAGTTCCAAACTTGCCTAGACGTCTTTGTATGTTATGGAAAGTTTAACTTCAAAACTGCGTTATAACCCGACATATTCGTTGCCATGGACAGCCTTTTTCAAGAAATCCCCATATAGATTGGTGGGTTAGAGCTTCCTTGTTCATCTTACATTATTCCTCGTGGCGCAGCGCACCTTTATTTGATTTGGGATCTGGGGTGGTCCTTTTTGCTCCGCTTAGTGGTCAACCCTCAATTAGAACTAACGGTAATTGGTCGTCAGTGTTTTGGACCAGGTGACCAATATGTCAAGTTATGGATTATCGACTGGATGATTTCAGTCAGATCACCCATACGTATATATGAAACGCTCTTCTGTGGGCCTCATCTGGGGTCTCCAAACGGTGGTTTTCGAAGCAGAGAGACAAGTATGTATTGCAGTAGCTTTACTTGGTCAAATTTATAAACGGTTTAGAGTTTACCTATGTTCGATTCTTGGTCTCAGCTTTATCAAGCGAGAGCTCTCTGTCGCAACGACGCCAACTTTTAACGACCTCCAAACATGCATTGTAAAACATTATTTGATCGGACTCACAGTGACCTCAGCAAGTCGCACACAAGGGAGAATCTCCATCGCAACTCATTATATATATATATAGTGGTTTGATAAGGGTATCGAGACCGAACGGTTGCTTGCTGCCTTACTAACCAACCTCACCCTAGCATGCTGCGTCAAGGTTGAAAACTTTTTCAGAGAGATCCTCAAGAAAACAAAACAACGCAGGGTGGAAGTCAACTGAGACCCTACAATGGTTAGCTACTTGACCAACGTTTCCAACGGAGATAATGTGTTGTGTTCATAATGTCTCCTCGACTGTTAACCAAATCTAAATAAATATGACTTCTTATCACGCGATAAATTATAAGATATCCCCAAAACAGCAGGTCCATTTGTAGAGCCTATCTGACCAAGTAAGGAC